TATTGATTTGTGGTTAATATTGGTTCTCACAGTTACCACAAACAACTCAGTTTTCTCTCTCTCTCTCTCTCTATATATATATATATATATATATATAGAGAGAGAGAGAGAGAGAGAGAGACTTGTGATCATATGAGACCAACATGTTTTCGTGAGATCCGTAAAACCCTTTTTTTACAATAAAAACTTTATAGTGTTTTTGTTGTGAATGTTCAGTTTTTTTTATCTTCACCGCATTTTGCTGTGAATTTTCAAGTGTAAAAAAATGGTCTTATAGATCTCACGAAAACATACTCGTCTCACGTGAATCCAACCCTATATATATATATATATATATATATATATATATAACTTTTTATTTCAAAGAATTTGAATAAGTTTCTAATGATTGAATCTCTAAAAGACTGAGACATATTTAATAGGACAATTTGTTGATTACCATCATCTCCAACCATCCAATAAAAATTTCAAGTTTTCCACAGACCGCTAACATTTGGTATTTATGTTGAGTCTTCAATTAAAAACAAACAAAGTCGTGTAAATCTTCAACCGACAAAACTCTGGGTTCATCGATTTGGTGGTTATTTTCATATGACCCACAAATTCAGTTTTTAGAATATGACTGAAGTTGAGATGCTAATGAATTCACTATCTTTAGGTCGACTGAATGAGATTTGGAATTGAATTTTATTCCAATCTCATGTTTAGTTTGAAGGATTTTTCGGATTTAAAATCACATGATTTCATTGAAATAACAAACACAGGGTTTTGAAATCCTATTGGGATGGTTGATATTTCATAGGATTTGTATGTAATAATGTTTTCAAATATATTAAAAACATTTGTTTTGTAATAATCAATTTATAAAAAAAAGTAATTTTATTGTTTTTATAAATTTTTTAAAATTGTTTTATACTTAATGACAACATTCGGTAAATCAAGAGCATCTCCAACAGATTCTTTATAATTTCTTTAAATTAGAGAATTAAAAGTCAAAATCTCAAAAAAGAAATTACATTTAACTTCAACGGATTTTCAATTTTTAGAGATTTCAACATTAATTACATTATTAAAATATCATATAAATTTATTATATCAATACACTTTTTACAAAAACTTTATATAAAGTAATTATAATCCAATCTCGTTAGTAAAAATGAATAAAAAATTAATTGTACATCGACACATCAAGTTTTAAAGATTTCTTTAAACCTGAATCTTTCTCTAATTTTAGAGAACATAGAATCAATTAGAGCAAAATAGAGAATAAAAGCTCCGTTTTCAATTAAAATAACATGTTGAGAAATCATTAATGTAAAATATAAAAAAAATATAATTAAGACCCATAAAATTATACTATTAAAAATTACAAAATATGTAAAAAACTTATTAATTTATATCTTTTAAAATAAAAAAAATATTATTATTTAAAACTTTAATTTTAAAGATTTCCCTTTTTGTCTCTATTAAATATGGAGAAATTTTTATTTTCTCAATTCAGGAAAATATTTTGGAAATTCCATAAAATAAGGAAAAAAAAACCCAAAATCTCTATTTTTAAATATTTAAAATATGGTTTTTATATCTAAAAAGCATTTTTTTTATCTTTCCTTTTAGATGACTTAAAATTAATTTATGTTTGATTTTGGTCCAAAAATATTTCTATTTTATTTTTTATTTTGAGTAATGTTTTTAATATTTAATTAATTATCAAAAAATAAATAAATTACACAAATCAGATGAAATGTTGTATTTTACATCATTATTTTAGTAAACTACAAATTTGGTACATGTAATTTGTGAAAAATAACACTTTTTGTTTCTGCAGTTACAAAATTAAAAGATGGTAATACTGGTTTGCAAGAACGTCCGGATTTGGTCATGTCTTTTAACGTTCGTTAAAAATTACGTTAATTGAGTGCATTTTCATCGTTTTGTCTTTTACCCGATGAAAAAGCACAAGGACCAAATTCATAAAATCGATCTTGATCTGTAAAAGACAAAAAGTGATAAAGGTACGAAAATGTCTCTTATTTAACGGAGTTTTTAATCATGTAATGAATTATTTTGACATCAGATATCAACCAACTTAACAGTCCCGTTAAATGATTTCATTGTCGTCGTTTCAAAATCTTTCTTAGCCTACAAATGAACAAAACACAACCAACTCAACTGTAATTGTTCTGTCGAACAATCAAAAACAATCTTCTGTTTCACCACAAAAACAATCATATCTGTCTATTTTTTGATTTTTTTCTAGATTGATGGTTGCGATCATAGACTCATGACAAAGCCGGTTGTCATGAGTCGTTGAACTGTTTTTTGAAGTTTATAATATTTATATACGACAGATATTCATGCACATTTCTTATATTTGGTGAGGTTTGAGTCATTCACGTTAATATGAATCAATGTGTGTCTACAAGTTTAAATTACAATATTATACGAGTTTTATACAGCTTAGGGGCTGTTTTGATTGGTTTTTCATTAAGTCATGTATGTATAAAGTTGTTTGTATGTATTAATCAGTCTGTATATATTTGAAAGATTTTTGTTTGTAAGAGTTTTTACATAGATGGAATGAACACATTTTTTTTTAATTTGGAGGGTCGGGTTTAAAAAGACTTGATTTTTTGCACAAAACTCTCCCTAAAAACTTACTGAACAAACCACTTTTTATATCATTAAGCCACTACCAGAAAGTCATGTATAACTCACCAAATAAGTCCTGAGTCTCATTAAGCTCATTAAGCTGCTAAGAAACAAACTCTTACTTTGTTTTCTCACTTTATTTTTAGGGAGCCCTAATGGATAGGCATCAATAATTTGAAGGAATTTACTGTTCAAATTCAAACATCTGTTGAAAGAGGGGTTGGTATATAATGTTAAGAACTTATCGGTTGATGTCGGTTTTGGAGATTATAAGTTGTTAATATGTATTTGTGTTTTGCTTTATTTCAACTTTTCACAGTGAACCAGACAATCAGATAAAGATTTAACCATACGAAAAAAAGATTCTTGCCTTGAATTGACACTAAAATCCAAAAACCTTAACTTTGATTTTCCGTCTTTCTCTCTCTCTCTCTCAACTCTTGACGGTTTCTTGAATGTCGAGAGGGGCTTTAACCTCTGCTAAAAGACGAATTATCAATAGTATCACGCAAAACCGTCAACCACAACGCCCAGTTCTTACTATTTCTTTTGTCGATACTATATGGTAGTTTCTCTTTGGATTCAAGTTGTTTTGCAACTTGGCAAAACAAGTCCTTGTATTTAATGATTTCTCATTTGACCCTTTATCTTTAACATTTCCTTTCATTTCAATCTAACTTACATTTCCACTAAAAAAAATTATATTAATTTAATCAAGCATGACATTCCAAATAAAGTACTTATAGATCAATACTCATAGTAATGTTTATTTGTATAACTTTTGATGTTGCATCTAGAGAGCTGCTAAGATATCAAAAACCCTGGCCACAGTGTAGTCCCCACCGGATTCAACTTTTGCAATCACGATCTCCAGGTCATCCACCACCAGAGCATACCTCCTTGAACGAACCCCTAATCCATTGTTTGAAAGGTCAAGCTCCATTCCAAGCGTATAGGTGTATTTTGCGGATCCATCTCCGAGGAACTTCATATTCTTCGTGTCTGGGTACCAGCTTTTCCATGCCTTCATCGTAAAAGCGTCGTTTACTGTAATTTAACCCAATAAACCATTCAAACATAAAAGAACAAGAATGTCTTTATAGAAATAGGATTGAATGCTCAACGTGATCTAGAACAGATTCTCCGAATTCAAACAATTATGCACTTAATCCAGTTCACTCTAAGGAGATATATTTCAATGTTCCAATATAGAAGGCACTTACCACTAATCACCAAAATGTCCTCGATACCTTTTGCTTTAAGTTCTTCATATCTATCAATGAAGCCTTGGACATGCAGCCAACTGTTCCACAAAAATGAACAGAAGGAACGTGTTACAATCTCAAACAATCCCTGACCTTACGAATTCAATCAGCAAAACCCTAAAATTTCAAAACTGACTGTTTCTCAAAGTTGTAATCTCTACTCCTATTGCTTAGAATTAACATCTATAGCGGAAAGCAACTTAAAGCGCATTAAAGAACGTAGAGGAAGGAATTTAATATACCTGCACCTGGGAGTGAAGGCACCGACAACACCAAGGACGACAACTTTCTTACCAGCGGCAAGAGCGTGTATAGAGACCGGTTTCAAATTACCTATCTCATTGAAGTAAGTAAGAGTACCATCAGGAAGCATCTCACCAACAGCAATCGAAGGCATTTTTCAGCGAATTCGGTTCAGTGAATTGTGATAGCGATAGATGGAATATATAGAAAAGCAACGGAGTTGACTTAAATGAAAATCATTAATGAAAAATGTTGCAATTTTGATCCTGTGCTTTTTCCAATTTCTTGGCTTTCATCCCTACATTTTGTCTATTCCAATTTTGCCATTGTAGTTTGCCCGTTTGCTCGGGTTTGGTCCATCCCACTAACAGTTGTTAACTCTCATCCGTTAAGTGAGAGACATTTTAGTCTCTTTTTTTTTCATTTACTTAAAAACAAAATAAAAAACTAAAATAATTTATTAAATTAATATTATATATACATACACACACACACATGG